AAAAACGAACTCGCTCCTTAATCTACTAAAAATTTATTTTTTTATTATATTTATTTTAATTTTCGTGAAAAAATATGGCTGGCGTGAGGAAATCACTCTAAGGAATTAAAATTATTTTTATAAAACTGCAAAAGCTTAAAGCTCTCAATGTTTGCCAAAATAAGAGCTAAAGGTAATCTCGCGGACCTACTTAAAACGATAAAGCTGTTTTCACAACTTGAAGGTTATCGCCAGGAGTAGTTCAAGACTTACCAGTCTCACAGTCCGCTGAGCACAATTAGTTGCTTTCAAGTTATGGTTTCTTCGAATGAAAGTAAGTTAGAGTTTTGGTTTTCTCATTTTTAATGTTTTGTAGGTAGATGAACGACGGAAGGCGATTTCACAAGGAGTTCTTGTAAAATATATCATTCCTTTCCCCCTAAAAAGAAACAAACAACAGACCAGTAAGTACCGAATCAATTTAATGATTAATTTATTTTGGGTTTTAATAAGAAATGACATGAAAGGCGATAAAAAATTAATCTACACATTTAAAGTAGTTGTCTGCGAAGGGATGGCGCGAAGTCATTGTATGAAAATAACTTTTTTTATGTGATCATTTTTTATATTTTTAGGCAGACAGTATATCCTAAATAAATGCTAACGATGAAGTGGTTGAAAACCAAGGTAAAATAACAGAAATACTGCAAGATATGCAGAGAAATCAGAAAAAAAATGCAGCAGCTTGCGAAGCATGAAGTTCTATTAAACGAATTGTGATGTAAAATGGCTGACTGTAATGCCACAGTAAAAGTTACCAATCAATAGAACTCCTTGGAAGAACGTTTTCCTCCACTCAAAATAGTGGAGCAGCTTTTTGAGCTGGAGGATAAATTAAAAAATCCGGAATTCCGTAGCAAGTATTTTAAAATCAAGTCAACATTATGCTCTCCCAGATTAGGAACCAAAGGGACCAATATTTGCTACAAGATAATAGATAATATTTTTCCAGAGAGCTTTTAACATCGGTGTCTTCGAGTAGCACAACATGGACAAAAATGAAAAGATTTCATACACATTTTTTACGCATATTCATCAAATTCTCTGTAATACAAAATGCTGACAGTACTGTAGGTCAGCTAGATAATGATACTTGTATAAAAGCAATAATAAAAAATTCTAAACAACGTTTCCAGGCGACCTTAAAGCCCGTTTCAGTAAGTACGACTAAAAATCGTAAAAAAGTCCAATGTTGAATCACAAAATGACGCCACAGAGCCAACTGCAGACGAACTTGAAGTTCAACAGCCCACAACCAGTGTTGCATAGCAATGAACCAATCTTCGTTCACTAGAATTTCATGACATATTGTTAAATAATTCACCGAATTTCATTTGCACATTCATATTATTAGTATTCATAATAGAATAGTGAATTTATAATCACAAAGGTTGATTTTTTAATCATAAAAGTTAGAAAAAATCTAATTTTTGCGTTGAGAAATCTTAATGAATGCTTACGTGGCATTCTCTCCATTATTCTATAATAATAACACTTATATAGTACTTACTAGAGTATAACTAATAAAATAATTAAAGAACTGACTGTTGAAGCTTTATGATAATACAATATGTATTATTATAAAGCTTCAACGGGGAAATAGTATTTAAGGTTTTTAATTTTTTTACCTTAGTTGTATAATTTGCGTACACCTTTCTCCGATCGATTCGTTGTGTACAATTCCAGAACGATAAGACTGCCTATTGGACCTTATTAACACGTTCATTGCCACGTCACGCGACGTCGCGTGAAGCGGCCTATTACGCTGTGGCTGATCACGCGACGTCGCGTGATGGTGCCTTACATTTGTATATGAGCCACAAAATAGCGGCCGAAGCGTATTGGATTCTGGTATTTGTTTTGGCCACTAGGGAAGGAAATTACCTATCTATTTGTGGACGTGGCCTGCGGTTAGCCATCTTGAATTTTTTGTTTCGCGTGCAACTAGCTGCGCACTAGTTTGCTCTGTTCAGCCACGTGGAGTAGGAGTGTTTTTGTTTTTTCTCGACTGTTTTCGTTTTGTTTACATCAAAACCTTGTATTTATAATGAGTAATAATCCGAAACCGACAAAAAGGTCATCAGAGCCTAGTACATCGCGATTTGCAAGAAGAAAACGACTAAATAGTTCGGAAGTGGAAGAATTTTTACGGGACTCAGACGAAGATGTTTATGCAGAGCATCCCCTCTAATCACCTATATCTCTTCCCGTACGCGTTGCCTTGTTTCAAGGGCAATATTTCTAGATTATTTTTAATCCTTTCTGCTGCGAGAGCCATGCTAGTGATCTGTAAATGGATCAACAAGAACAGACACCATCTGTGAAGGATGTTAAACAATTTAAATTGCGGTTCTTGTTTCTCTATCGTAAGCATTGATAGGAACTATGTCATTATTTGTATTTCCGCTAAACCAGCTTTTTGATAACGCGTTTTTACTTCTACAGGTGTTAATTATCGTACTTCGCAATGACAAATTGTCTTTCCTGAAAATCTAATATATATATATTGCTACAAAAACTTAGTTCGTTTTGCATTATCTGTAGGTAGTATTGTTTTTCAAAGGACCAAAACTTACTTCAAAACGGGTTAAGTTAGTTACTGAATACATGGTGGTTTTCATACATGTCATTATATAACATATGTTATTAATGTGGCTGTATCGGTATATTTCTCTAATAGTAGAATGAAAACGTTCGATTAGTCCTGTAAAATTTGGATTTGGTAAAATATAAATCTATTTTTCACATTTATATTAGTAATGTTATATGTTGTCATTGTTATTATTGCATTCCAGGGTTGCAACTAATTACAAATGTTTTTATTCTGTTTACCAGACTTGAAAATAATTTCGTAATCATACTCTTGTAATCTACGGCGCCATCTAGTTAATTTGCTATTTGTTTATTTTATAGAAAAAAGCCATGCAAGAGACTTATGTTCTATGTACATAAATAATTTACGTCTATATAATATAAAGAACACACACAGGGTTGTGGTGTAGGTGTAAGAATATCCACTACCTGAATCATCCCGTGGGTGTCGTAAGAGACGGCAGAGGGAAATTGAAACAGGTAATAGGCAGCAGCATCTTCCTGGTAAGAATTCAAAATTATAAAAAACTGTGGTTGACAACACGACCGTCAAGCGTGTCAATTATGGCAAAATCTCCACTATGGGGCAAACTTTGAAGTATTATGTTCAGCAGTGCACTTTTATAGGCTGTAATGGATGAAGTATGCTCTAAAATGCTTGAGTGCACAGATTATTGCTAAGAGCTCTCTCTATCTCTCTCTCTCTCTCTCGATTGCATTATAGCGTGATTATGTGTCTGACAGTGTTCTAGCAGCGAATGCTACAAGCTTATCGTTACCTATCTGTCCTTGTGGTAACACTGCACATAAAGCATCTGTCGTTAATATATAAATCAAAACTGCCCGTATCTTAACATTATTAGGTCTTAAACCTTCGCTGTTATAGTATATCTTAGATCAGCTGTTCTTAAAGTGTGTGCCTCGTAATGGGCAAACTGGGTGCGAAAGGCTGTCTTTTGCCTATCTTCTTCACTGACTTCAATTTGGTGGCATCCACAAACAAAATTAAGTATAGTGAAGTATTTACCTTTTCCTAACTTATCGAATAGATCAGTAATATTTGGCAAAGGTTATTTATCTCTTTCTCAATTTAATTGAGACCCCAATAGTCTACTAGCATTCTAAACTTAAGTTCGCCTGAAGCATCCATCTTTTTCGGTACTAAATGGACAGGGCACTCCATGGTGAGTGGGATTTCTGTATTAGATTTTCCCTCAGTAATTTATCAACTTTTTTCCTAATTTCTTCCGTTTCTGTAGGGGGCTATCGGTATCGGTATATACATACATAGGGTCTTTATTTTTAGTGTGCATGACTCAGATCAAAGAAATTCTATGATCTGAGGTGCATGAAATGCTTAATCTCATTGTTAAATGTTATTGGCCAATACTGATATAGTGATATATATTTATCTTCTATTGCGAGCTATAATAATATGTTTCTTGCATAAATTGTATATAAATTTTCTTTCACCTTATTTCTTATAATTTTAACGCAAATTCTTTAAGTTTTCTTAAAGTAATTTATATAATTATTTATATAAGCCTTTTAACGTATCTACATGATAGTAGCTGTACATTAACATGTCTACATATGTATTATATAGTATATGTATTCCTACCTGAACTTAATTTTTTCTTGAAAATACAGATTTATATCATTATAGAACAGAACACTCAAAAAAATTATTGAACACTACTTATATAGTCTATTGTTATTTAAAAAGTGATATTTTACATTTGACTTGGTATTAACTGAACCCAAATAACTCATTTTTCAAAGTAATCTTTCCTATCTGTAGTAAAAAGTTTGGTCACATAGCTAGAAAGAGAAAATCGGCCTTGGTTGTACATATCCCTATCGGCTCGTTATTTTTGGTAGAGTACTCAATCCGGGTTGTACGTCCATGAAATGCACAATTAAACAAGTCATCTTTGTTAAATGTCATTTTGTTTATAGTTTGATGAATTTATGAGGTATTATTACTTTTTATATGCTTGACAAAGGATGACCAAATATAAAATCAGAATAGGCTGCATGGTCTAAGACCTTTGTCAGCCAAAATGAACCTAATTATAACAATAGAAAGAATCTCTTTGGCATCTTGTCATAAAAATAAAATTGTCAGCTCAGTTGTCAAATTTCACTATCTATTGCCAGTATTGTGTTTCAAAGAAAAGGAATAAATCTATAAAAGAGTATTATATGCTAATTTTCTTTCAAAATAGGCAGTTTCTTTCACAATAAAAAAGGGGCAGTAACTTCAATGTAATTTTAAAGTGATCGTAGTTAATTATTTCTAAAATAAAAGCTGGAACTGTTTCTTTATTAAATTAATATCACAATAAGACAATTTATAGACTTTGATGATGACTTCCGCACCGAGTGGAACACACAATTTCAAAGTAGTGTTATTGGGTGAAGGATGTGTAGGAAAAACGTCTTTGTTGCTGCGATACATTGAAGATAAATTCAACGATAAACATCTTACTACACTTCAGGTATAAACGCGAGCCTTACGTCATATGTTCATTATAATAATTACTAATATTGCGTGTTATTTCTTAATTTGAAAACCGGTACTCAAACTGCACTATTCCTTATTACATGTTGCACTACACCTATTATCAATTATGTACAAAAATTGACTTGTTTCTACTTGTTTCATTTGCTTAGCAACATATACAAACTCCAATGTTTAATGACTTAATTAAGTAGGTGTTTTATTACTCTTATGACTGTATCATCTTTATTTTAGAATTGTTTTCTAAATTTACTAACACTAAAAGCAATATACTATGTGCTAGAAGTGCATTCTGACTGTATTCATTTTTAATAATTGTTTACTTAATGAAATAAATCACCACAGGTATACAAATTATAAGACATATATACCTTTAAATACTATCATAATCTGCTTATAAACTGCCAGCTGAAAGAAAGATTAATGGTCTAACAATTAACATATATTCCAATGGCTTCCAAGTATTGTCCAACCAATGTAAGAAATATAATTATGAGAAACAAGAAGTATTATTAAAATTGTTGTGCCCAGCCTGATGTTTTATCACTCATGTAATTTAAATGGATGGCTTTAGAGTTATTAAAATGCCAACATCCAAATATGCACCAAACTTTTCAGTTAAATTACAATAGTATATAGAACTGGCTGTAAAAAAGTCAGCCACTACAATGAAACTAATACAAGAGGTTCCAAAAAATTCTAAAGCAAGATTATAATTTGTATGCAATTATTATTACTATTATTTCCATTTACCATTGTTTTAAAGTGTATAATGCTTGTGCCAGCGGTATTCCACAACAGTAGTTGAAAATTAGGTATTAAAAATTTATTTTTTAATTTTTAAGTCCATAAGCTTTATCATTAGACTACCAATGCCTATATTTGCTAATGTGACAAGGTTTGAATACCTACAATAAATAGGTATATTGTCATTAATTCATCCATTACAGCCTATAAAAGTCCACTACTGAACAAGGGCCTGTCACACATATTCCCACATAGGGGAGGTTTACCAAAGATGCAAATCTTGGCAAACGAGTTCGGCAATTCGGGAACATATTTTACATATTGGGCTACATAACAATATTTACATAGTAAAAGATACTTACTTACCTATTTCAGGCCACATTTTTAAATAAAAAGTTGAACATTAATGGCAAAAGAATAAACCTATCTATATGGGATACAGCTGGTCAAGAAAAATTTCATGCGCTTGGACCCATTTACTATAGGAATTCTAATGGAGCTATTTTAGTGTATGATATTACTGACGAAGACTCTTTTGGAAAGGTAAATACTAAATTATTTTTTATGAAGTTATATAATATTTCTTATTTTATTATCATGTGATTAGATGTTTTAGTTTCTATTTTTCTATTATTCTCTGTTAATATTATTGTGTAGCAATTTCCCACCACCAATTAGAGCAAATCCTGTGTACCAAGGGAGAGAAATTAAAAGAATTTTTGGTTTTGAAATTTACTACCAATTATAATAACCATTAATGGGGCAAGAGTTATGAAGTTTTTGGACTCCTTTTCAGCATAAGGGTCCATATGAGTAGACACCGTAGTGCCTGCACTGCTGTGTTTTGGTCCAAATAGAGAGCCAGCATAATTACATGTTATTAGGCATTCTATTTCGGTCCTCGGAGATGACAACACAAATGTAGTCTTCTTCATTTGAATTCATTTTATTTGAGTTTGCACAGTTATTTGAGCACATATTGAGTGGCCAACACTGGATACTGTCAATACCATGTTTGCCCTGCACATGCCTGCATATATGCATTTAAATTCAATCATTTACAATCAACAACATAGTTTTAGGCGCATATTATACATGGAATACACAGTGCACTTTTATCTTTTGTTAAATGAAAAATTAAGAAATATGCATGTGTTAGTGTGTGTCAAGATGAATATGATTTTGGCGTATTCTGAAATGTACTAAAGTATTTTAAATTATTTTCACAGCAGTTTTTATTATCATTGTCATACTGGGTGACCTTTTTTATCGTCTGGGAATAAATAGGTTGTAACATGTGAACGGAGTAGAAGCCTATGATACTGATATTTTACAGAAAATAAAAACAAAAATTTGGAATTAAATGTTTGAAAAAAATTTTTTTTTAATTTACTTTGCCCTTTACCCATGAGCCTGAGACCCTGCGAAGTAACAAGTTTAAAGAAGCCTACTAAATTTATTGTTTTATTGCCTTTCGTAAAAAAAGGTGGATATGATTTGAAATTCAGTAGATTTTAATTAATTTATTTATTTAATTCAATATTTTTTGTAAAATATCAGCACCACAGGCTTCTACTCCGTTCACATTTTACACTCTATTTTGTCCAGATGGTAAAAAGGTCATCTACTATATTTGTTGTACCTACATAAATTTTATTCATTTAATTATTTTTGTATATTGCTTTATTAACTTTTAGATGTTTACAACAAGTTACCTGTGTTATATTATTGAATTTATTTTATTTTCTTTGCTTTTTTTCTTAATTTACATGTCATAATTAATGTCTTATAGACTTATAGTCCTAAAGATTTATAAACCATTCAGTAACACCATTATTACAACTCTAATACATTTCGTTAGAACCATTTGTCGTTATAAAATATTAGGATGGGTCTACACTGGAGGAGCCAAGCACGAGCAGAGCATTAGCCAAACACAAATTTGTGTAGTGTGGACTGACTTTCAAGCCTAAAACGAGCATGTTTTGAGCGTTTGGTTAGTGCTGGACTGTGCTCCGCCTATTGTCGATTTTTTAACGAACACAAAGGATTTGCATTGCATGCATCGATTTACATGTTGTAGGCTCATACGTCCACACTTGACACCGCAAGTGGAGCGGCTCAGTTTGTGCTCAGCTCGTGTTCGGCTCTTCTAGTGTAGACCCACTTTTATACAATAAATTATTTTAAACAAGACAATGACATTTCATTGTTAAAAACATATTTATTTCACTTTCTAGGCAGTTTGTTTTAGGACAAACAGTATCTTATCTTCATAAAATTTCTTTTATTTGTTTCTAAATTTAGCATAAAAGCTTCTTTATCTACTAATTATTTATAGTACATTATAAAAGTATATAGGTACTAACTATTTATATTAGTTGCATAGCAAAACTACCTAATAAAATTATACCGTATGCGTAAGTATTAGAGTGAATGGCGTCATAGTTTTTTGTTAACAAATAACAAACATCTTTACATTCTTTTGAATAATATAATTCTTACATAAATAAAATAGAAAACTGATCGTATTAATGTGATACTAATTAAAATGATATGATATAAGTACTTCTTTTTACCAGTGTCAACAAATCTGTAACTAATTACACTAAAAGCTTTTCATCTAGGAAGCTAGGAAGTAGCGGAACGATCTCATGGCCTAGGATAGACAAAAGTGTAACCAAAATGTACAAGCCAGGTACTGTACCTAGAATGGAAAACTGCATCAATCTTGTGACATACCTGTCACTGTGAACGCCAATCTAACTGTCAATTGTGGCGATAAAATCTAAATTACAAATTAGAGACTAGAATATAAAAGGTACATGTGGGTTATGGTTGATTGACTACTACATCAAATATCCTTATAGAATCAAAATAAAGATGCATTGTCACGCTTAAACTAAAAAACTATAGTTTATTTTGTATAATCTAAATTACAGAGTTAGAGATTAGAATAAAATGGCCTATGGGTGAGCTATGGCCCATAGACTACTACATCAAAAATATACATAAACAATCAAAATAAAGATGCATTGTCACCCCTACAACTTTAGGTAGTTTATGTTATCCACACTCACCCTCAGCAGTCACCATACGAAGCACAACAGTGCGAGGGGTGATCCAAAGGTAATGATAATCGGTTACTTCAGGTCTTATATACTCACTACGTCAGCCTAAAAAAATCATATAAATAGATCACGATTTTCGGGAGATACATTCATTTGAATACGAACTGTCAAAGAGATAACATGGAGAATAACGAAATTAGAGCTGTCATCAAGTACCTTTGTTTGAAAAAAATGTCTTCAAAAGACATACACAGTGACTTAGTGGAAACATTGGGGGACTCTGCTCCTCCATATTCTACAGCTGCACGCAGGGCCAAGGAGTTTAAACTGGGCAGAACATCCACTGAAGATGAACATCGCGAAGGACGCCCATCCACGTCCCTCACTGAAGACAACGTGAAAAAAGTCGAAGATGTTGTGTTGGTAGATCGAAGAGTGACCATCAGGCATCTAGCTGAGGTCACAGGGATCTCATATGGCAACGTTCAAAGAATCCTTGCGAACGAGTTGCATATGAAAAAGGTCTCTGCGCGTTGGGTACCCAGAATGTTAACCGACGAGCAAAATAAAAATCGAGTTGACATTTAAATTTTGTTGTTGGTTTGTTGTGGTATGAGTATTAATAGTCTTCACGAAGATGCGTCTAACATTGATTGGTCGCCACTTTTCAATGCGGAATCGGTAAATGAGAAGGTAGTATTGTTTACGGCCTTAACTACTAAATTAACTAGTTTTTGTGATAAACATGCTCCAGTTCGCGCCGTTAAAATGAAACACCTTTCTTCACCGTGGTTAACGAAAGAAATTAAAATCTTTTTAATTAAGAAAGCTGCAGCTAAGTCAAAATATAAATACAAACCTACATACATAAACTGGGAAAAATATGTCTATCCGAAAACACTATCAAGCACTCTTAATATATCTCCAACAGTGATTGAATGGTTTCAAAGTTACATGTTCGGGCGCCGGCAACGCTTACGCGCTTATCATAGTGTACCAACATTTCTGGTGTCCCACTGGGTGGCGTTTTATCACCTTTGCTTTTTTCAGTTTTTATTAATTCAATATCCACTAAGATAAATTATTCCTATCACTTATATGCAGATGATTTTCAGATATATACACAAGCTACTCCTAGTGACTTAACTGTAGCTATTAACACCATAAACTTTGACCTAGCGATCATTTCTGAATGGAGCATAAAATATGGTCTCAAAATTAACCCACTGAAGACTCAATTAATTATTTTAGGCTCTCCGCGTATGTTTATAAAATGTAATTTACCACAAGCTACCAAAGCTGTATTTGATGGTGATATAATCCCGACTAGTAACACTTGCAAAAACTTGGGTGTATACATTGATAAGACTTTATCTTGGGGTCCTTAGTTACAGGAAGTTAGTCGTAAACTTTTTGCAGCTGCTCATTCTTTGAGAAGACTATGAAACTTTTTACAACCAGCCACAAAGATTGCACTTGGCGCAAACTCTTCTGCTTCCAATCTTCGATTATGCAGATGTCAGCTATCTTGATCTCACTGAAATGCAACTTTGATAAACAAAGATGTTTTACCTATTAAAACATCTTTGTTGATAAATTTGTATAAGATTTTTTTTTGTATAACATTCATAATATTTGTTTGCGTAAATGTGTCAGATTTTCGTCACAGGCTCAGTTCCTTTCCCATCATATTCTCTCGCTTCTTTATAATATTCTTTTTAATCTTTTCTAACCTACTTACCAAAAAAATCGGTTTGAATTCCTCCAGGACTCACATTTGAGACATTTGTTATCATTAGAAAATTTTATATTAAAAATGTCAGCTTACACTACCAAATTTTTGGACAGATCATTCACAATGCAAGCTGTCCGTTTATGGAATGAATTGCTGTTATCAGCAAGACGGACTCAATCCCTACCATTATTTTAAGAAACATGTGCATAATCATTATTTTCAACTTTGATTCTATCCAATTCATATGTATATAATTATTCTAACGTTATCTAGCTACATTATTTGTATAGCATTTTTTTTTTTTTTTTTTTTGAAGACCAACAGCTATCATAATTAGGATAGATAGTATTAATAACAACAGTAAGCCAATTAAAGATCCTCACTAATAGATACAAAAGTGAATTTACAACAGTGATAAATACGATTTAACACTCGAAAGTATCCAATACAACATATTTATGCCAAATGAGAGCTAAACTTGTATTATGCATATAAAACCCTCATACTTAGGACAGTCAAACACTACAAGCTATTTTTAACATAAAAATAAACACAAATATAAAAGTAAATCATAGTTGTGTAGCAACGCACAATCTCACAGAGATACCAAAAAATGCATGCTATATGTAATAGTTTCAAAATATATATTTGTACTTTTATATATTTATATTAATTTATAAAAAAATATATATGTATATGTATATATTAATAAGTATGTACATATGTACTATCTTATC